TCAACTCCTTCACAGTCATTATTCCAGTCCCTCCTCTCTGTTACGACCCTCCCCTCCCCCTCCCCTTATCCCCGTTTGGTGCAAACCAACACCCTCAGTCCTCCTGTCCATCTCCACTCCTACCTCGCCATTCAAATCGAAGTTAACATTCCAGCCAATTTAAACGCACTCACAGCCCGAGGAGGCGTGGCGCAGTCGGGGTAGCGCTGATGTCGTGCAATAGATCGACGGGTCATCTCTGCCGGTCAAACAACCGATCCCTCTACGATTCGTTCATTCGCTCCGATAGTAAATTTGGTACTGGCATATGCCAAGGAGTCAAACCTACCATCAGCTTGCCTGTAGCAGTCCTCGAAAGAGGAAAGAAGCCATCGACAGCTTTATCTGCAAGTGGCTGCTTTTGATATTTGCTACCACCGAGGCTGCTTTCCGAGTGCTTTCGTCTTTCACTGGGAGCGAATTCGGACTTCTAGCAGCACAAGAGGCACACCACTGAAGTCCCAACCTGGCTTGTTGCCCAAATCGGCGGCCCACATCAGGTCCAGCGGTGCGGAATGGTTGAACCGCTTTTAACAAAGTGCACTGAGTTTTCTGGTCTATATAGGTTGGGAGCAACTGCTAAAGCATTGGCTTAATTCGACAGTGGCCGACATCGCTTTTTCTAGCATCTGCTTTTTTGCTACCGTAACAAACCATACAATCGCTACCGACCTCCCCGTCCTCGCTCTGGGCAAAGTTTCCAATCACTTATCTTAATTCCCTCATCTACCACTCCCTGCGATCTCCCAGCCCTACCATCCACTTTCCCTGCTACTGCACCGTCCGAAGAGGCATATCACAATCATCACAACTTCACGACTGCTCCCTCCTCCCTTCCAATCCTGTGATAAAAGAAATTTGCCGCGCAAATGTACGAAATCTCTGGAAGTACAACAGCGCGGGAACGGGTGGCCAATGTCCGATAGAGCAAACATAGTCCAGAACACACACATACACACATCAACGGCAAGCAAGAAATCAAATAACTAAGGAACAAAACGTTTCTCACTCGTTTTGTCCCTCAGTTGTTAGATTTTCTGCTTGCTGTTGAAGTATATTTGTTACGTCTGCCAACTTCCGGCACCCCGCAGATGTTTGTTGGTAGACATGTCGCAAGAATACTGTTGACCGGCTCCGCCACTCGTTCTTCCCAACCAGCCCGAGTTCCGTTCAGCAGTTATCGCGTTTTCTACTTTAGTCATGAGCCAGCGTCTGACAGAGTAAACAGAAAAGCCAATAACTGAGGGACAAAACGAGTGATTTCTTGCTTGCTGTGTGTTTGTGTGCTGGACATATATCATGTTTACTCTGCCGGACACTGAGCACCTGTTCCCCCGCTGTTGTGCTTCCAAAGATTTCGTACGTTTGCGCGGCAGTTTTCTGTTTTGTCTCAGTGATAGTGATTGTACTGTCTTCGCTGACAAGTCATTCGTCTGAGTTTTGCGCCGTTTTTTGCATTATTCTTTTGCACGCGGACGATTTTGAGTTGCGTTAAGGCGTGAGGTAAAGGGGCCCATTTTCAGGGTATACGCGTGGCGAGCGGACTGCACATCATCATAGCAAGCCAAAGTGTCTCGAGTGCGCCCTACGGGCGTGAGTATATCACAACGCGCCAGCATCGTTATCTCAGGCGTAGTAGTGGACTTCAACGAGGTACACTCTTAATGAATAAGTTCTCCGGCTCCTTTTGCCACTTCACCTGGATGAGCTGGAGGAGGGGAGAAAGTCTCGCAGCAAAAAGTCTGATTCCGTATGCTCGAACTGCAGCGTTTTTGAATTGACTTCCATTTTCTCTTTAAATTAAAGTTCCATTTTTGTAAGCCGTAATCCGTCCTGTGGCCCGAGATGCCAGACGAGTCTTAATTTTCCCGCCTTAGCCTTTCGCCGTGGTTTGGAGAGAGTTAAATTTCAAGGTGCGCATCGGTTAGTAAGGAGGGACACATCTCGAGCTTTCTAAACGAGCAAAAAGTCTGTGTTAGATTTCATAATTTGAGGTCCCCGTTCCAGTCCGAGCTTCCGTTGAAGATTCATGGCAAGCTTTTTCGATGTTCGATTGCAAATAAATAGTGGCATGCGTAAAATACCGTAGAGTTTTCGGCCATCTTTGTTTTACTTCTCCAAAAAAAACGTTTCTCGGGTAAGGAAACTAGTAGTAGATTTACTAAAGAGAACTGTAGATTCATCAAACAAGTCTTTTTTTCGAATTAGTACTTTGCAGACTTGGGTGTTCGTAGTTGATTTTGCGCTCGTAAGCATTCGCGTTCCGGAACGTCCCCTAAGTTATGTTTGTCGGCCAGCCAGAAATTCCGGGTGATTTTTCGTCAAGATT